GCAGGAATGTTGTTATTTGAGCCACTAATGCTTGCACCTAGAGAGTCCCTTCTGCCCAAAGGTACATCCCAGCTAGGTCCACCAGTCTGCAGGGGTTATAAATAAGGTTTGATCACTAAATTTTGATAGTCAAATATCAAGATAAGGGTACTATAGTGCAAAACAAAGGAGATGTTTACAAGAACAGTTGAATCTCTAGCAGCTACAGCTAAAATGTCAGCACATGACACTGTATGAGGACACTCTTTGTTTTGAGATTAATTTCATCAATGACTTCAAATCCTCGAGCTGAATCACGGTTGGGATTTGACCTCTTCTCACTGATAATAGTTCCACTGCTATCTAGCAACAACGATGCATCACAGCCCTGCCACATAATGCATTTGAACCATATAAATTCTACAAAAAAATGATTCATAACACCCATGTGCCCCTAGACACATGTGATAGGAGATATAATATGACAAACACAAAAAAAAAAAAAAAGTGATAGAGAAAAATAAAAGGTGTCAATTATACTATGTATGCATGTGTCAACATATTGTTACTCTAAATTCTATAATATGCACATAACAAGACTCGTAGATTAGAGTTATGACACTACTAACAATTTTCTATTTGTATTAACAAAGTTAAAGGGTTTGTTGTCTTGTCATATATAGAGACCTTGACAAAACAATCATGGAAATGTAGTCTCAACAATGAAGCAGCCATGCGGGGTTCTTTTGCCACAGCCTTGGAAACGATGGATTTAACAATCTCTTGAGCTCTTGGGCATGAACCATCGTAAAATTGAGGGTAAAGGTAACCTGCTATTTTCTTATTACAGTGACAGAAGGGAGCAAAGGCTAGTAGAGACAAAAGTAGGAGGAAGCTTATAGAATTGACCATTGTTGTTGTTCCTTTCAAAAGAAGGGTCGTTGAAGAGGAGTTTTCAAGCTGGATTGGATGAGCACCGTGATGGGGTTTTGGTATTTATAGAGAAGAAAGTTGGCAGAAAACTATTGCATGACAGAGAACGAATTTGAAAAAGGCGTCATGGAAGGGTAGAAAAAGCTGGAGTTGGTAACTAACTAGTTTTCAAATCCGCACAAAAGATGAAGAGTGGTTAGCTCTTGATACTTGTCATGTTAAATCACCCAAAACTATAGTATTAACAAAATGGCTTCATGATCTAAATGCAGAGCAACATGCTTTAAGTCTGGCATAAAGCAAAAATACTTGATGCAGAAAGAATAGTGTCATTTTCAAGTAAATTTCTCAATAACTTTAACAACAGGGAGAGAGATAAAAAAGATAAGATCAAATGATTATGAGGTAAGATGAATGACATGATCAGTAGAAATTAAAAAATATTATGAAGCGAATTAGTATTATTTATGCAAAAAAAAAAGGCCTTAGCTATGGACCCGGTTCCTCTGACTTTGTTACTTACGGTATTCTTTCACTGAAAATTTTATTGGTCTAATTATTTTAAGATCAGCATCAAATCATTTATTTGTTTTTTTAAGCACTATCTTTTGCTTTTCATTTTTCATTATACAAAACCTTGATTATGGCTAATAAAGTATTACCACCATCGTGAAAGAATTTAACCTCAAGCGTGTGGTTCAGCGGTAGGGGTTGATCCACGCTTAAGCAAGGTTAGGGGTTCGAAGGGGTTCGAATCCTGCCTTGTGTATGCAGCCGCGTTAAATCTTGGGGCCAGCTATCCCACCCTTTGAGGTGGCTCCAACGTAGCGAGGAGATTAGTCACTGCTGTCGGCGGTGGATACTCCAGGGACGAACAAAAAAAAAACCATCTTGAAAGAATTTTCTTTTTCATCTTTTTAGAATCTTTTTATAATATACAACAGTCACACTAATATTAAAATATATGATTTTGTACGTGTTATTTTAAGTCTACCATTAAGCAAACTATTCAACATATTATCCTAAACTCTACCATTAAGCAAACTTTAGTGGTAGTTATATTATTATTATTATTATTATTATTATTATTATTGTTGTTGTTGTTATTGTTGTCTAGATTAGCTGTGATTTTATAGTATCAAAGAAATATTTATTTTATTATTTTAATTTTCCTTATTTATTTTTTCTAAATATCATGTCTCAATAAATGAAACTAAAAATAAAGGTAATTTAGTTTCATGGTTAACTTTTTTATAAAAAAAAATTGAAAAAAGTTTAATAATTTAGATAGTTATTTCAAAATATAGATAACGTATCATTAACACTTTCTTTTCTGAAAAAGAAAATATCATTTTAATGAATCTATCACTAAGCGTCCGTTTGGAATTTAATAATATAAAGAGTCAAGAATGGAAGGAAAAAAGAAGAGTAAAAAAATTAAAAACCAATATTTCCAACTATTGGCAACTTCTTGTGAAGGAAAGAAACTAAAAAAATGTAAGCTAAACTTATTGTTTTTGCGTAAGCCCGATTTGGAAGCAAGAGAAAATTGCTTTTATAAAATTAAAATACCAAAGTACGCTTATTTTTACACATTTTTTTATTAGGAATATTTACATTTACATTTTTTTCCTTTTACTCTCTGCACAATCAAACAACAGAAAATATTTGTTTTACTGTTTTTTTTTTCATATTTTTTCTACTAAATGACTTAAAAATTACCTCACTTGTTTTTTTTTTTTTTTTTTTTTTTTCTTTCCTTTCACTTTTTTTTCTTAAACCAAGCAAGACCCCAAGTAATTTTTTCTTCTTCTTACGTGGTTTTCATAAATGTCAATCATATTCGCGCGCGATATAACTAGATATTTAGAAAAATTATGATTTTTTACCTTGTGATAATCTAACCTAAAATATCAGACCCAACTTTTGTTGATTGAAGTAAACTAGTTTAATCTAAATGAAACTAATTAAGGGTCGTTATAATCCCACTAGTTCACTTTTAAGACAAATTCAATCTGAAGGACTTTATCCCACAATTTTCTATTCAAAAAACACGTACTTCATTATTATTACAACCATAAGGCCGAAGACTAGTATTTCAATCAACCAAGACGAAGCCAAGCAAAATAAGAGAGTTTTGATCCTTCACACTTGCACTATAACCGAGTCTTGAGTTTTAGATGCTTCCCTTCCAGTTCCACTCAACTATGACAATATCAAAGACCTTGCTGTTCTTCTCTGTGTCTTATTCTTCCAATTAAGTTGGCTTCAACTGCTCATGTTGACTTCATCCTACCTCTTCATACTGTTGACTAAATCTTCCTACCAAAAATGGTATCTGCAATTGACAACTAATTGGGGTATATATTATATATTATATATTATAACATATATAATATAAAATAACTTTTCTATAAATTAAAATTAACTATTCATGAACTATAATCATTCCATCACGATGGATTAATTTTCTGTTGTTCAAATGCAGTTTCTGTATATTATGCAGTATTTTCTTTTCCACATGCATTTGTTTTTATTGGGCAACAGTTTCCTCGGGTACATTAAAAAAGAAAGGCACAGTGACTTTCATACGGTGGAGTGGTGGACAGAATGATAGATTATTATACTATAATAAAAATTGTATCCACGTTTGTTTGTTGTCTTTGTTCTCCTTTTTGTGTGTCGGTGTAAACTGTAAAGACTCTACAAACGCTACTGTCTGCTATATGCTCGACTTCTCATTAGTTAAGTGTAGAATAACTTCTTGACATTGGCGAAAATATTCTAAGATTATTAAAACATAAAATATAGATCGAAATATTTTTTTATTCATTGATGATAACTTTTTAAAAACGAATATTACTACGTGTCAATTAATAAATAATATTTATTGATATATCAACATCTTATTACTTTAAGAGAATAAAATAAATATTTGTTATTTAAAACAAGTTTTTAACCACTCTATACTTTTTCTTTTGGACCTCTCCAATCTTATCACTTCTTCACTTCGAAACCTGTAACAACCTTAATTTGGACTTGTGCATCTGTTTATATGTGTAAGGATATAAAATATTAATGCTGATAAGAGCTAATATAAATAACAAAGAACATTACATGATTTATGATGCACAATGTAATGAAGGAACAGGTATAGTTGGATACCTACTCCTCTCTACGTTTCTAGTAGTCTAAATCTTGAACTAAAGTTGTCTTCTCTTGATTTAACATTATATTCTTAGAATTACTTCTTTTCGTTTATTTTTGGGTGTATGGTATATGTGCTTAGCTTTGATTCCAGGGAAATCGACAACTTTGCTACTAAAAAATTAGGGCTTTGTAGACGGAGTAGGATAGGATCAATTTCTTCTACTCTTTGTCTCTTTCCCTT